ATCATCTGTTCTCCTTGGTGACAGCCACTCTGCAGTTGCTTGGTTACAATTTGTCCTTTCCTTTTGCATATTGAAGCATTGCTTTTGATTGATAGACCCTTCTAAAGTAGCTAGTTTGGGTAATGTGACCATTCGGTGCTATTATTGCTGGCAGTCCACACCTCATGTTGCTGCATACTGGAATTAAATGTGGAACACTTACAGGAGATGACAGTGTTAAATACTGTATTTATGCTGATCAGCTGGTGCTTTTTGCTCATGCATTGAAAAAGAACTTCTGGTACCAGCATAAGTAGTTCTGGTGTTCAGAACTTGGTAGCAAGGACAAAAATAACCACGATTTTTGCCTGCGCTGAGTTTCTGCTGATGAACAATACTTTGTATCTATAGGGAATTTGGAAAATTCCTGCTTGCAATCTAAACACCTTTTCTGTTTTCTTTTCCTTCTCTTCTCTTCTCTCCATTCCAGGAAGGTGAAAAGATAATTCAGGATTTTCTTTGTCAAGTGAAAGCATTGCCCCTGACAGATATGTCGGAAGAAGACATTAAAGTCAAGTTGAAACAGCTGAGAAATGATGTGCTGGCAAAGAACAACAGTTTTGTGAATGAAATAATTTCTCGAACGAAAGTTACATCATGAAATGTGTGAGAACAGGATACAGCTCCTGAAGCATATTGTGTATTGCAAGAACTATAATTTTCTTGTCTTGTAGCTTTTATACTTTATGATACTTGTGCTCATTTTTTAGGCATGTTTTCTTGGATTGTAATTGTTTTGTAAAAAATTCTGAACACATTACGTGCCAGATTCCTGCTTTAGTTGGGATCATTTTGTCCCTTTAGACGTTTACAATAAACGGTTTTTTATATTGAGAGTTACTGACTGGACAAACAGAATGTGTAATACTTTACCAGGAGCGTGCTAGAAAGTCTTACAGTTGAGGTGTCAAACAGTTGCCAGAGCCTTAGAAAGCATCAGTCTGTGCACAAAATCTTAGTCCTAGGCCATTATTCTTTTTTATGTGGTGCAATTGGATTAATTAATTCACTGAAGATTTAGTACTGCTGTGTTAGTGCTCCATTAGAAAAAAAAACATCTAAGTGTGCCCAGGTAAGGCATCCTGGCCTGTGTCAGCCAGTGTGGCCAGTGGGACCAGGGCAGGGATTGTCCCCCTTGGGGACTTGGCACTGATGAGGCCACACCTCAAATCCTGTGTTGAGTTCTGGGCTCCTCGCTGTGGGAAAGACATTGAGAGACTCCAGAGAAGAACAGTGGAGCTGGGGAAGGGTCTGGAGCACAAGTCTGATGAGAAGCAGCTGGGGGAGGGGGGGGCTCAGCCTGGACCAAAGGAGGCTCAAGGAAAACCTTATCCCTCTCTACAGGTCCCTGGAAGGAGGGTGTAGCCAGGTGGGGATCGGTCTCTTCTCCCAAATAACAGGTGATAGGACGAGAAGAAAACAGCCTCAGATTGCACCAGAGGAGTTTTAGATTGGGTATTAGGAAAAACTTCTTCCCCAAAAGGGTTATCAAACCATGGAACTGGTCACCCAGAGAAGTGCTGGAATCGCCACCCTGGAGGTATTGGCAACAACACGTGGATGTGGCACTCAGGGATATGGCTCAGTGGTGACCCTGGCAATGCTGGGTTAATGGTTGGATTCCATAATATTTGGTCTTTTCCAACCAGATGTCTCTGTGACTTGTCAGAAATTTTTTGCATGTGTACCTATGTGAATGGTAATGCTTGAGTCAAGTACACACTAGAGGCCTGCTCTTCCTGCCTGAGTTGTGGTTTTGTAATGGAAGCAGAGGCTGGGTGAAGTTACATTTTAACTGGAACGTCTGAGCTGATCATGATTAGTGAAGGCTGTCTGCAAAGTAAGAATACATTGATTTTTATCTCATGTGCTTCTCTCATTGAGACAGTTTGAAAGCATGCTGGTACAAGTTTATTTTTCTCCTTGAAGTTTAGCATTTTAAATTGTAACTGAAGAATACTACCTATATTTAAAACTGTCAGCGTTGAAAGACTAATGGGAGAAGTTGTTTGTCGCAGGAGATGATAGAAATAAAATCATGCTGAAGATGTTAGGCAAACTCTTTCTGTGTTCAGAAGTTGCATCAGTGGGTGTGTGCTGGGGACAACAGTGCTGCTGTAAAGCTGTGCTCTGTAGTGCTGTGTCAGGGATTAATGTGTTGAAGTGGTCTGCATTTAAACATTTAAGTAGTCATAAAAGAGGTGTGATGTTCAGTTTGCTGTTGGATAATGCTTGTACTTAGACCAGGGCTGGGGCATATTAGATCTGCTTAACAGAAGCACTAAAGGCTGTTGAGGTGCTGCATAACACCTTTCTGGCCATTAAATTAAAATGCATTTTGCTCACAAAGACAAAAACAGACCTGCATTTACAAACAGCACAGTTGATGCATGGTCTGAAAAGTGTGCTCATGAAAAAAATCCGTTGCATAAAGTAACAATGTAAGTTTCTGCAATTTTGATTATTTTGACCTCCAAAGTATTCTTAAATGTTGGCTCAAACTGCTTTAGGTGTTGCTAGAAACAGGCAGTTCCTGTGAGACTGGAATGCTGGTACTGGCAGCCTGTTCCTGTGCATGCTGAGATTCCTGTGGTCTGAGCAAAGATGCCCCTTGCTCAATGTCGTGTCCATGTAACCAGAACAGGGATAAAACACCAGAGGTCATCTCTTCCAGGAATTTCTCTGCTTTCCCTTTGACCCTGTCTGCACTTTACATGTCTGCTTAGCCAAGGAGCTCCTCACTGAGCTGCCGCCAGCAAGAGAGGCCACTTCTCTGCTTCCATTAGTCCCCTTTGTGTTCTTTGTGTCTACTCTTTCCTTTCTGGGTGCAGTGCCTCAGCTCTGTGTGTCTGCAGTGTGCTGAGGTCAGGCTGCTATCATTTTTGGAGGCTGATAGAGGTGTTCCAAGTGGCCAGAGGTGGCCAGATTTGCCTGTCTGAGGGTGAAAGGTGCTACCAGGAGTGATGGGCCAGCTTTGGGCAGCACCTTCTGCGTGCTTCAGAAAGAGTCTCGTGTATCTGCAGCAAAGAAGATTCTGTTTTTCTCATGCCCTTCAACACTCACAAGGAAGAAAGGTGCAAGTTAACAAGATTTTAAAGATTTTTTTAATCTTTGTTTTTCTCTCTTACCCTACACTTCCCCCTCCCTCTGCCTGCTGGATATAGGCAAGAGGAGATCAGGCAGGGTTAAGTCTCCATATGTCAGTGCTGCTTGCAAACTGGGTTACAGGTACTGCGATTCCATCTGAGCAGGCGGGGTGGCTATTTTTGCTGCTTCCAATTTAGCTTTTTGTTCAGAAATGTACCTATGGGGCAGCAGCAATTCCACAACTTGTCTGCTTATTACAGAGCTGTGCCAGGGATGCAAAGATTATCAGAGTTCCAAGAGAAACTAATGAGGCTGTTGAGGAGTGGTGAGGCACTGTTAGCCTTCAATAAAGGTGCAGGGTTCTCTTTGCTCATTCACCTGAGAAAACTTGGCACTGAATGCTGCAGGCAAGTGGTCTTTTTGGTCTCTGCTCTTGCTGTTCATCTAGAAAGCTCTTTATGAAGAAAACTGCATTAGATGGCGTAAAACAAAAGAGGGGACATGAGCAAACACTGAAGGAATTAATTTTCCTTTGGTGATTTCACTGCCCTTTTAGGGATCAGGAGCACCTGGTAGCCAGCCTGATGAGAAAGTGTTGGGTTTACCCCTTGGGTTGTGGTCAAAGGCTCCAGTTAGGGTTGGATGACTCCAGGGAATGCTGCCTGTCACATCTGGACTCGTCTCTGCATATTCCTGCTTGCAGCTATGCCTGTTCATCTCAAATAATAATGCAGTCACAAGTGGCCCTGTGTCTCTTTCCTCCCCTGGAGCTGAGGTGGTTCTGGAATCAGAAATGGCAGAACAGGACTGAGGTGAGTCCTTGCCCACTGGCAGCTGCACTGACAGTGTCTGGAGGAGACTTCCAGTCCTCGGAGAGCTTTGGATCCCTGCTGGCAACCTGGCTTTGCAGAGCAGAAAGGCTTTGCATCAGCTCTTAGTGCATGTAACTGTTCTGGGCTGACAACCACCCTGTAAGTGACTGGGAGTGCTCGTGGTCTGACTTTTCCAGATCCAGGGAAGCCTGGAGGAGAGCTCATTGCTGAGGTCTGGGGTTGTGTGAGCAGTTTCATCTTGAAAGTTTCATCTTCGTGTTGAGATTGTGATGGTTTGAGCTGGTTTTCATGGCATTAATTTAATGAGTTTTCAAACACCCAGCCACTGCTCAGGCTGAGCAATTTCTCTGGCTACAAAGCAGTGAGACAATTGGTCTTGCTGTTCTGCACTGGGGCAGATTTATTTGAAAAATCAAGGGAGAGCAGCTGCTGCTCTGCATCTGAAGAAATGTGAGGTCATGCATTGAATTCTTTGCCTCTTGTTGACGTGGGAAGAGGGAAAAGAAGTGGCCTCACGAGCCTGAAGCCTTAAAATACACGGGGAGGGGTGTTGTCATCTTCCTGAGATGGCTGCAACCCTTGCAGGTATAACTTGGCTCTTGGTGCTGTTTGCTGAAAAAGCCATGTTAGCAGTTGTCTCTCAGATACTCCTGTTCCTCTCCCAGCCTTGCAGCTGCCTTTCCCAGCCTGTTGCCTTCCCTCTCTCTGTTCCTGCCAAGCTCCTGCACTGTTCCTGCACACAGGGGAGCACCATGCAGTGCTTCATTTATTTATACGTGTCTCTCTCTCAGCTGCCAGCAGAGATTTTTATTTGCACGGGGTGGGACAGGGGTAAATACATCCCTGCACAGGCTGCTTTGCCAGTCAAATTGAGAGGGACCAACCTCTGCCGTTAAAGAGGGAAGTGACAATTTCTGATCCCTTTTAGTGGCAGCTGGGACATGCCCTCCTGACTCGGTGTCCCCTGTCACCTGCCCCAGCTGATGACAGGTTGTGTTTGCTCCTCCAGCTGCAGCGAGTGGTGCTTTCCTAGAGGTGAGAAAATGTGTTTGCTTTTGTGCCCTTGTGGGAAAAAGGTGCCTTGGCACCTGCTTTGAGCTGCTTGATTTCTGTGGCAGTTTCCTTAAGGATGTAATGGTTCTGCCTTTGTGGGGATGGTTGGAGAACTGAAAGCAGCTGTGCTAAACAAGGGAAAGCTGTGAATAAATAGCCTGTGCTTATGAGAATATTTCCCCTGCTGCTCCACCCCATCCTGCTGCACGCTGCAAAGGCACGGCTTGCCAGGGCGAGGCACAGTGGGTGGCTTCAATATGCTTGCTCTTTCTCCAAAAATTAGGCAGCTGTTTCCCCCTGAGTTGCTGTGGGCTCTGGCAATGGGCCCAGCTGCCATGGCAAAGGGCAGGCCTGCCCAGGGAGTGCTGCACATCACTCCGAGTCTGGTCCCATCTCCAACCCGCTGCTGGACCGTGCTGTGCGGGAGGCAGGAAGCTGGACAGCACTCTTAAAGTGCGTCTGTGCCTGCCTGAAGATGCTGCTTTATATCCTGAGGAACATGAACTTTTTTCATACTGAGCTTTTGAAATATCTTCTGTCCTGCTCCTTTCTTTTTGTGCACAAAATTCAGGAAAGCATCCACTGCTGTGGACTTCAGACCAGAGATTGTCAGCCTTTGCAGCATGCCTGCTGGTTTCCCTTGTGTGGCTGTGCCCAGATGTCTCTGACAGCAGACAGTCCAAGCTTTTAAACCTCTCTGCACCCCCCTGACCCCATCCAGAGCTGCCTGGGGACCTGTTCTCCCTGTGCAGATGCAGCTGGAGTGGCGCTGTAGGAGACAGAGCCACTGAACAGTGCCACGTTTGCTGCACGTGCTGCACCTCCTCCCCAGGGCCTGTGGTTCAGCAAAAAGCACTCCACAAAGGATCAGAAATGCAGCTGTCAGAATGTGGTCCCAAGCCTTGCAAGGAATGACAGCATGTGTTACCATGGTGCAAGCCCTGCGGGTTTTAGGGGATTGGGGAAATGCCGTTCAGGAACAGTTCCCTTCTGCCCGGATATTTGCAGTAATTCTTCCTCGTGTCTTTCTGCTGGAGGTTGTTGCTGACCTGAGTGTCCCTTTCTTGCTTTTCGGAGTCTCAACATAATGGCAGGTAGTTTCTTTATGCTTTCATGTAGTAATGAAGAAGGTAAAAATAAAAACCAAGCTTCATTTCAATGTTCAATATCCAAATTACCAGCAAGATGATTCTGATGCTCATTTTAGTGCAGATGCTCTGGCTGCAGTCTTTTTTTGCCATGACCTGGGAGGACAGCATGGGAGTTTTGGTTTCTGTACCTACTGACTCTTTTCACCTTGGGCAGTAATAGATGTTCCAAGCTCACACTCCCTTTCTGCTTGCAGGAAGTCATCTTTTATATTTTAATTCTGCTGTGGCATTTATCATTCCATTCAGGGACACTGGGATACGCTGTAGCAATTCACTCCCACCTTGGTGGCAGTCAATGACATTAAAAGTTAAAAAAAGAAGCCTGCTTACTTTGTGCCTGCTGTATAAAGGGATGAGTATTGCAGTGCCCAAGGCTGGTGATGCAGGGGCAGGGAATCAGGGGATGCTCTGTGAGATCTTCCCTCTCTCTGTTGGAACATCCCCAGTGAAACTCAAGGGTTTAAAAGCTTCACTTCTCCATGCTGGCACAGAAGCCTGAGATGAGAGGAGTGATTGCACCAGCTGGGAGCAGCCACCTGGGGTAGCTTGGATAGTGCAGAGTCCACGACATGGTCTCCTTTGGTCCAGTTTGGGGGCACTCTGGCTGCTGTAGGAGCCCTGGCCCCTACACAGGCTGCCTTTCTCTGGAAGGTGCTATTTCAGCACTCGTTTGGCCACTGCTGTTCTGCTCTGGTTATTGCCTTTAACTTAAAGAAAGGAATCTGAGACCAAAACCACTTGTTTGAGGTTGCCCCAGAAGATGAGCAGCACTTGCTGCAGGCACTGGGCCACCAGCACTATGGAACACTTGCATGGCTGGGTGGCTTGCTTAAAATATTTGATGTTCTGAGGAGGAAGCTCCTGTGAGACTCCAGCTTGGACCTGCCTTGCAGTGCAGTGACACAGCCCTTGGAGCAGAGCTAACCTGGCTCTAGCAGACCTGAGTCATATTCCAATTTCCCCTACAGTGGCGTTTTAACGGCTCCTTTCCTATTTTCTTTTTTTTTTTTTTTCTTATTTTTTTTTATTTTGGACTCTGGGAAGGAAATAAATTTCTGAGAGGCAACCTTGCAGAAGCCCCTCTTTCTGTGCTGCTGTGGCTGGATATCAAGCATCATGTAGTATGATAAAAGACTGGTTATGAGAAAGCTGCAGTGTTGTTTATCTTTCTGCTGTAGAGAGTCACAGGATTAACTCTGTAATCTCTCTTACAAGAGCTGTGCGCATTCAGTGTGAATCAGGGGAGCTGCATGAAGTAAATGCTTTTTTTTGCCCTGAGATTAGACTGGCTGTTGATTTGGCCCATGAATCCAGGCTAATGCTGTTGTGCTCTCAGTAGTTCTCAATGGTTTAATTTCTCTCTGGAGTGTAGTTTGTAGACAAAAGTGTAATTTTCTTACTGGACAGCTTTGAAAGCTGATGAGTATCTTACCCATTAGTATTACAATGTTCAGTTTTGCTGTTTTTTTTGGTTTTTTTTTTTAAGAATGAGAACTGATCTCCATCAGTGACTAGACATTTATTTATCCTGTGCACATAAGAGGAAATCAAACCATCCAAGGCTTTGCTACACTTGCCATGCATCCTGAGGCATACACTTAGGAACTTTTTTCCCTATTGCCCTTATCAAAGGGTATCATGCAAGGCATCAGGCTGCTTGAAGTGTTTAATGTGAACAAGGAGTTTTCTGGGGGAGTATGATAACCAGTGCAGTAATCTGACATTTGCAGATAATGCCTGAGAACTTGCTCTTTGGCCCTTCCAGGAGGATGCAGGAGCATGGGAGGGATGCCTAGTGTGAAATCCTGAGCTGCTGTGCCTGCTTTGGGCCAGTCCCTTAATGAGGCCTGCCCAAGTAGGATCTTTATCCAAATGGGAAAATTTAGTCCAGAAAATAGATTGCAATGCATCTGGTCTATAGAGAGCAGGCAGCCAATAATGCATTTCAGAGGGAGCTCAAAGAAACTTCCATCATCATCAGTCAGGAGGGTTTTGGAAAACCGTCCCGTGGCTGTAGTGGCCAAGTGCCTTGTACACCTTCAGGATGGTGCTGGACACCTTTGCTTGCTGAAGGAGGGATGCTCTTCTCTGCCTCTCCTGCAGTTTAGTCTGTGCCCAAACACAGTCCTGCTCTGCACTGCAGCCAGCACAGTGCAAATGCTCAGTGTAAATTCCTCTGCTTTTAGTGCTGTGGAATTGGGTAGGCAAACAGGGAGGAGAGGACGAGCCCAGCCATGAGGAGCCTGCGCTTAAACTGAAGTGGTACAAAGGGAGAACCACAGGGTTTTCACTTCACGTGCCACAGGCTGCTTGATTTTGCTGTTATGTGAGTTAGTGACAAAATTTGCACCACTTTGAATAGAGCAGGACAAGGTTACTGTGAGTCTGTGTGTGATGTCTCAGTTCTCACTTCCTTGGGTAGTGAAAACAAGCCCTGAGCCCTTTGAAACTGAATGGGGTGCTGAACCTGAAGGCTGAAATGTGGGGCAGGTGGGAGAGGCTGTAATTTTTGGGTGTCCTTCACATGCTGCTCTAAAAAAGCCACACAAACAAACAAACCAACAAAAGCTGTCTACGCACAGAAAGTAGCCCTATTTCTTCTTTTAAAAAATGTATACAGTAGCAAAGTCTTTCAATTCCAGCTGAGGAGGAAAGTGGCTGCTAAGACTGATGCTCCTGAATGTGCACAGGCAGAAGAGCTCCTGGAATTGGATGGCAGAAAGCTTGATGCCATCAGGTGGACTTGTGCCTGCTGAAGATTCACCTTTCTAGAAATGCTTTTCCCCACTGCTCTGCACCCTCTGTCAGGCCATGTTGAAAACATCCACGAGAGCAGACAAGCTGTGGTGAGTAGGATGTGACTATGTCAGAGTGTGAGCTGTGGAAAAACTCTGGCTGAGTTCTGCTTGTAGCAGTTTCAGGGAGACCAGCTAGAAACCAGCCTAACAGAAATAAGTTCTCAGCTTTAATGTGCCCTGAATGTCAGCAGTTCCTGTCTTAAAATGGACTGAGTGGCCAAAAATGGTTGCTGGAAAAACTATATAGAAAATTGTTGGTCTTTATCCAGTTCAGAGTGGAAAAGCACATGGACAGGCATCCTCATGGATGTCCTGAAAGGAGACAAGCTCTTTGCTTCCCCCCTGAAGCTGGACCCTAAATAAAACACCACTTTCGTGTCACCCTCACCTCCCCACTCAGCCCCTCTTTGGGGAGAGCAGCATTTATTCTAACATAACTACATATTCTTAGTGGCTTGCAACTCTATAGCCTGTCGAGATGGAACTGTCCATTGATAATATATTGGGATTTGAATGACTAAATTTGTTCAGTAATGGGGGAAGAAAATCCACGTGAGGACCTGTCCCTTCTCTCTCCCTGGGGTGTCTCCACAGCCCATGTCATTTAATCAGAGCAGAGAAAACCTTTGCAGCTTGAACTGAACATCACACCACCCCCAAGGCAAATATTGCCTACTCAGAGCTCTCCTCATGGTCTCAACATCCGCCTTGCAGGTGCTTTAATACCACCCACAACAAATTTCCTGCCTGCGCAAGAAAGCACTGAACCAAGCAGGAGCAAGCTCTTTGAAGGATGATGCTCCCAGACTCCCAGAGCTGCCAGCATGGTGTATTAAACACTTATGGGGTACTAGAAAAATACTGGAGGGTATAGGACTTCTGCTAATAACACCCAGCTGCAGTTTATGGAGTTTTAAAAGATTTTAGAGTAAAGATGACTGACATTGCTGAATGATGCAGTGAATGCATCCCCTCCTGACTGTATGGGGTGCTACTGGTGCTGACTTGAGCATATTAAAATAATCTCTTTCCCAGAGAAACCTTCCCCTCAACCCTGGGCATCTGTGGGTGCCAGCAGTGTCTTGGAATGTTTTTCTTTATGGGGGTTGTTTCTCTTCTGGCAGGTTGTGCATGCAGATCCTCCATGTCAGCACCACATTTTCATCAGAAGTGGGAGATGTGGGAATGGTGCCACTGCTGAGCCAAAGGGCTGATGGGCAGAGAGGAAATGTGCCAGACAAGCAGGATGAGAGGAAATTGTTAGACTGGATATTAAGAAATTATTTTTCATGGAAAAGGTTGTCAACTACCAGAACAGGATGCCCAGGGAAGTGGTGGAGTCTGCATCTCTGGAGGTATTTAAAAGTGATGTAGATGTGGCACTCAGGGACATGGTTTAGTGGTGGGCTTGGCAGTGCTGGGTTAGTGGTTGGACTCGGTGATCTTACAGGTCTTTCCCCACCTTAATGATTCTGGAATTCTGTGATTCTCTGAAAGACCTCCTGTGAGCAGCAGTGTCACCCTGAACCCCAGGCTCCTGTTGGGCAAAGACAAGGCCTTTAAAACCCTTTAATAAAATTATATTCTTAAAAAAAAAAACAGCTCTTGAATCTCCTCTGCTGGAGTTATGTATTATTTGCTTGAAAGGCATCCAGGAGCACTTCTTTGGGCACCAGTGCCAAACCATCTGCTTGCAAGTGGGATGGATGCTGGCTGTGCTCTGGAGGCTGCCCCGGGCTGAGCAGGGAGCTGTGTCACAGTGTCTGCACAGCTGCCATGCCTGGGGCCCTGTGACACTGCAGCTGATGCAGGTGCCCAAGAGCTGCCTTGCCAGGGAGACCTGGGGCACTATGGTGGCACCCATTCCCCTGCTCAGAGTTTGGATCCCGGGGTGTCCTACAGGTCTGGCCAAAGTGAGAGGCAGGAAGGTGAGAAATGGCTAAAACACCCCTGCTGATGTGCTGAGACCCCCATCTCACTCAGTTGTGCAGGAATAGCCCTGGGAGAAGGGTCTGCTGAGATGGATGCTGGACAGAGCCCAAATGCAGCGAAAATTCCCCCAGAGCCACCCAGATCTCCCCAAATTTAGCCTCAGGGCTTTGGGCACCTGACCCTGCTCATGGCTGTGCACAGGGAGTTATCCCCAACTGCACTGCCTGCTGCCTCTGCCTGGGTAAAGTTGCATTTTCTGCTGTGGAGATGCTCAGAGGGTGCACGAGCCCTGTCTGGTGCTATGTGCTGGCTGTAGCCGTCTTCACCACCTCTGTGGAAAAGCAAGCAAGAGCACCCGTGGCATGAGGCAGGATTTTGCACTGGTCATATTTCCATTTGCTTTGGAAAATAAAATGATGTGCTCTACAAAGAAAGTGCTGGGATATTTCTGGGGACTTTCCAGCACAGCCTGTCTGTGGCTCCAGGTTTCTCTGTAGTCTCTGCTCTTTGTAAGTGAAACCAATCAAAAAGAGTGAACAATCCCTCACGATTGTTTTCACGTGCACTTTTGATGTAATTTTTTTACAGCATTGCAGTGTAGATCAAAATGCACTTAGGCTGGGATGTGATACCATAAAAAAACTTCTAAAATTTAGCTCATTGACTTTTCAGTGCCTAGGTACAAAGCAAAAATTAAGTAATTTTTAGGCTAGCTTTAAAAATTGCTGAGAGATGCAGCAGTCTTTTCACTAGTAGTTTCAAAACCTAGAGCTATGCTTTTTTTAGACTACTTTGATAAATGGATGTTTTGTTACAATCCCACTGAGCTGAGCTGCTTTCTGATTCCTGCTTCCTAATTCTGCACGATGGGAGGAATTGTCCCCACCAGATTTTTACGTGGCAACCTCTGCTTTCAGCTCTTTCCATTTCCTTTAATAATAATAATAATACTCTTAGTGGCCTGGTGTCCTCTTTCACCAACTTTGTGTGCACAAGGGATTTGATCTGGTGAAAAATTCAGAAAGTGCTGTATACTCTGTGTTTCTGTTGGAGCCAAGGTGCTCAAGACTCTGATCATCTTCAGGAGAAAATTGTGCTGCCTACAACACAGGTGTGGGGCTCAAGGATTTGCTGTTAAGTCCTGCACAGGTCTCCCATGCTGTGGTGGACAAGTCCTTGGCTCTCTGGTATCTTTCTATGTACAGGCTCACAGAATCATTCAGGTTGGAAAAGACTCACAAGACCATCAAATAATGCATATGAAAGGAAGGTGCCAAAAATGTCTCATTCAGAGGCTTGTGGAGAAACTTACAGCTGGTCACGAGATGCTTGGAAATCACCAGCGACAGAAGGGAGCCAAGATGGAGTTTCTGATTCATCTACAGGCTTCTCATTATTGAAAATGCTCTGAGGGGCTAGAAAAAAGCTAATTGCACTTCAGATGGAAACAATGACTAAAAAATTATCCTTGATGGTTGATTTTTTTCTCTCTAGAGGGCTGTGGATACAGCCTGTAACTGCCTATAACCATTTTTAATATGAGGTAATTTCTGCTTCAACAATCTCGCAGATCTCAAGGATATGTTAACATTTACCATCAAATATTAGATCTACATAGGAATATTTCACTTCTTCACTACTAGCACAGATGATGCTCATGAGAGGTTGCTTAATTATACCTACATTTTCGAAGATGAGAGATAAAAATAAATACTGGTACAAGTCAACATGATTATATGGGTATAAAGAATCTTGTCCATATTGGCTTTTTCCTTTCCCACTGCTGATGGTTTTTACCTGATTTGCAGAGATTTCAGGGATGATTGCTTCTCTCCCTGCACAATTCAGATGAATTGGTTTGGTTTTGCATTGCAAATGAGTTGATGTAATGAGACATGGGCTGTTACAGCTCCTGACATGCACATGGCTCTCTCTGGCCAGGAGTGCAAGAGAAAAATTCTGACCCTGTCTGATGAGCAGGAGTGAGCTGGGGAGAGCCTGAAGCACATGGATAGAGCAAAGGTACCCCTTCATCTTACTCCAGAGAAGTCTTTCTGGTTTGGTTCTTCCACTGATTTCATCACTTATTTTTCCATGTTATTAAGCTGCAGTAGTGTGTTAGACTGAATAGTTTTTCTTCCCTAGACATCACAGCTTAGCAGAAATCTTTTATTTGAAAGACACTCTCAAATTCCCATGTTTCCTACTAACAGAAGCAGAGACTTGGAATCACTTGTCCCATATAATTTTCCCAGGAAGGGGTAGGGATGGCCACTGGTTCACAGCTCAGCGAGGATGGAGGATTTATCTCTTTTGGGAGACTGAGGAACAGCACAGAACTTGTCTGCCAGTATCCACATGCCACTAGTGCATAGGCCTGCCCTTGGTGTAATGCGTGGCAGGAGACCAAGCCATTCTGAAAGCAGAGAGGTGCTATGAGATGGCTGTTCTTAGCACAGCAAACCCAGGCACACCAGTAATGGCTGCGCTGGATCCTCCCCACCAAGTATTTTGTTGTTCCTTTATCTGGTTCACCAGGAGCATGAGAAGGTCAGAATAGTTTCCTTGGCCAAGGGAGCCATACATGCAGGATTTTGCCAACTGATTGGCATTTAGGTGGTGATGGACATGTGGACATAAAACTTTGCCCCACCGGCATCCACCTGCAGCTGTTGGGGTGAGGGAAGGGGGCTCCTTCTTCTCATTCTGCCAGTAGTTCCAAAGGGAAAGTGTCCCCAGTTTTTTGGCACTCCTCCAGGGCTGGGTCACTCAGGACCATCTCTCTTGGTGTCAACACAATGTGTGTGTTAAAGGCAATCAGAAGTTCTCATGCAGAAGACCCATGACACTCAAACAGCAATAAATTCCAAAATGAAGGGTTTGATCATAGCATTATAAACTTCCCACGTGAACCATTTTGAATGACTGGAGGGTGACAATCTAAATATAAATGTAATTTCTTTTTAAAAACTGACTTCAGGCACATATATACAGCTTTGGTTGACTTTCAAGAGGAGTCTGTGGGAACATCTGACAGCAAAATTAAGTTATATGTTTCTTGTGGGAGTTCGTTTCCTCCAAAAACAGCAAACGCCTTGATTCCCTGGCACTCAGATTTTTAAACTTGTAATCCTAGCAGAATATGAACTGGTTTTAACTACCCTCAGTGTCAGAATTTTGTCCTTTGAAGGAATCACTTGGGGTGTGAAGGGGAACAAGGACATTTGGAGCAAATGTGAGGGTGTGATTCATTTTTAGGGCTGGTGTGGTGATCAGCTCAGCCATGGAGGTTTTGGCACCGATTTCAGCAGGCCACAGGGTCACACACAGCTCTTGCATTAGCTTGGGAGAATAAAGCAGTGGGAAGGAAACAGAGCACTTGGAAGCAGGCAGAGGAATAAATGGGGTAAGAGACCAATTAAAGTGGATAAAAGCAAAGAGAAAAACGGTGGGCATGGTGAGGGCTTTAACAACTTGTACAGCACATTTCAAGGGTATTTCAGGTGAAATCTTTTTTGGAGCACTCATTCAAATAGCGTCATTTCCACCAAAATAACTGGTTACATGACTAGGGTGAGGTGGATTTTAACCTTTATATAATCTTCTCGTATAAATGCAACAGTTGCACAAAATGTACTTTTTGGATATGATGTAGGGAGAAGTGCAGAATCAGTTAGGTTGGTAAAGACCTCTGAGATCGTCCAGTCCAACCTTAGACCAAATAACACCATGTCAACTTGGCCATGGCACTGACTGCCATGTCCAGCTGTTCCCTGAACACCTCCAGGGATGGTGACTCCACCACCTCCCTGGACAATCCATTCCAATGCCTGATAACCCCTCCCAGGAAGAAATTCTCCCCTATGTCCAGCATGAACCTCCCCTGGCACAACTAGAGGCTATATCCTCTACTCCTGTTGCTGGTTGCCTGGGAGAGGAGCCCAACCCACACCTGGCCACAACCTCATTTCAGGGAGTTGTAGTGATAAGATCACCCCTGAGCTGCCTCTTCTACAGGTCAAAAACCTCCAGCTCCCCCAGTCACTCTTCATGGGATTTACCCTCTAGACCCTTCACCAGCCTCATCCTCTGGACTCACTCCAGCACCTTGAAGGTGTCAGTGTGTTTCTTGGTGTGTGTGATCAGGTGCCCACTGGAGATGGAAGGACAATGAAACCCAGCCCCAGGAAAAACCAGCAGCAGTCACATCATGCCAATGAAGTTTGCAGCTCGGTGTCTGGAGCCACCGAAAACCCCAACACACGATAAACCCCCAAATCTCAGTGCACAAAGTCTAATGAATCACCTCTAATTGCCTCATCCCTTAAACACCAGCCCTGTGCAGTGGTGTCTGCCCCAGTGTGGCACAGCGGTGACATGCCAGCAGGCAGCCTGGACACCGAGCTCTTAACAGGTATGAGCACGGGAAAAAATCCCAGCGACACATTTGGGAGCTCAAGCCAGCCCCACCATCCTGGTGATGGAAATATAAATGCAGCCCTTAGGTGAGGGCTGGATCCTGCTGTAATAAATTGGATTATGGGCTAGTTTTACATTGCTGCATCTGGAGAGGGTTTTGGGGGCCTGGAGACAGATGCAGGTAATGGCTGGGAACTGACAGCCCTGTGTCCACTCCCAGAGGGGTCACAAAGTGTCTGAGCAAGCCAACCCAGGCTTACCTGAGGGCAGTATGGATGAGCTTCCTACCAGCAGCAGAAACAAGGGAAATAATCTCCCTTGAAATCCTCTCCCATTGAACTTGCTGCCTTCTTCCACCTCCTGATATGCAGCAAGACTGGATGCTTTCACAGAGGCCTTCACCTCAGTAGCAGCTGTGGGAGCTGCTGGTGCTGCTCTTCCACTCTTTTGCTTTGTTGCCTTCTTGGAGAGCAGAGCTCAGTGATTTTTTTTTTTTTCCCTTTAGGAAATGAGCTGAAGCAACTGGTGACTCCTCAGCTATATATTTCAAATTAGGAAGGCACTTAAACAGTAACATCAAAATATAGTAGTGTAAAAAGAGTAATTATTAAAAAAAAAAAAAGAGGGATTTTCTGATTTTCTGTAATTATGAATATCTACTAGATTAGTAGGATTTTCTCACAACACTCTATGATGGAGAAATTTATGGCTGGAACTGTGAAGAATTTAAAAGAGTCTGAAAATCTTAACTTATTTGAAGCATGGGAGACCCTGAATAAATCCCAGGGGAATTAGACTCCCAGCACAGCAATTCTGTGGACACCCAAAATCGGTGAAATGACAGCTAAATAGACAAGAACTTCCCTCTCCCCTTCACTGCTGGGCCCAGCATAACTCTTGGTGGCTGCAACTCTTCCACCCTTATCCTTTCTGCTGGTAGAGTAAGCTGTGTGTGTTTTGGCAGGCAGGGGCTGTCACACCAGCCCTTGCAGGTTTTGTGTCTGGCTGGACGCTGCAGCAGCAAGTGCCATCCACAGCCTATGCCCAGCACCAGCTCTTACTGGGGCTTGATTTATTTAGCTGAGGAGATGGGGAGAGCAACAGGGCTTTGCCTGGGTTTATCAACCAGAAAGCTTTGTCCTCTGGGTCCGTGTTATCTGGCAAGATTAGCAAGCCTCCATGTCTGGTGCAGTGACATTTCTCTGTCGCAGTGTGATTGATCTTTTAAGTGCCTTTCTAGTCAGTATCAAAATTCCCAAGATTTATCTTAATACCTTGGACAGATGGCTTCTATTGATTAGAATGGAAGTTATGGAGAGGGGATATATGGGGAGTTCCTTGTAACTGTTTACAGAGCAAACAGTTTCCATCTGCTCTCTATTTTATTGCTAAGCAAAGGATCACTCAGCTGCAGAATTTAGCAGATGACCATCGGGTTCATTTGAAGCACATCCCACCAGTTGTTATCCCACCTGCCTCTGCTCAAACATACACAGTTTACCCAGCACCTGGGGATTTGTGGGGTCTCCACATATGGCTCTGAGCTCTCCATACATTTCCAAGGGGGGTCTCTCACCCAGGAGGTGCTTCTGCCTCACCTCCCACACTCCATGCTCAGAAGAAAAGACGACAGTACTAGCATGCACATCCCAGGCAACATTTTTTTCTCCTGTTTATTTGAAAAGTCTTTGTAGTAGCTTAATTGCAACATTCCAAACGTCACCTGGAATTTGACATCCTCCCAGACGTAGAGAATTCATACTTGATCATGTTTCACGGCATTAAAAACACACAGGAACGTTCCCTGGACACCACCAGTGGGTTCTTCCACCGTCTCCTTAACCACCAGTTCTACACAGCCTCTGCCAATGCCTCTGCACCGCTCTGCAAAGCAGCTGCACCTCAGCTGCCTCTGCCCCCTGGATCCATAACCATGTTTCTGTGAATGAAGGGGTGCCAAGCCCAAAACACCCATTTTTGTTCGCAAACTGTAAATAATGAACCAGCAGAAATGCGATCCGCGTTTGATTGGCTTCTTATATGGCTTTGAGTCCTCTTCATTCAAAGATCTTACAGTGGAAAAATCCTGAGCTGACATCAAAAGTGGGACTGACTCGTTAAGAGCAGTCACAATTATGGTATGAGTTGGAGGCTAAATTCCTGTCAACCCAGGATTAAAGCATTTTTACAACTGACACTTGTTTAAACAGATTTTCTTGAAATTTATTCCAGTTTAATGTTTTGCAAGGAAGCATTATCTGAAGGAGAGTAAAAATCTATGTTTTCCAATCAACAATTTACAGGAACTTATGTTTCTTCATTTCACCTCTTAAATTGGTAAACACAATCAAAATTGTGATGGAAAAATACATGCATCTCCTTTTGACTTCTAGCAGGCATTTAAGTCATTACATCTATTTAATTAGGCTATTTACTACCTGCAATTCAACCAAGTTACTCCAGATTCAAGCCACAGGAACACTTGCTTCTTAGACCCTACCATCTCTTTTGGTTTATTTAGGTAATCTCTGTGTGGTTCAGCTCTTTGGGAGTGTGTTGAGTAATGTCAGGCACTGGAACCTGCTGCAGATGTTTCTGGATGGTAAAATGTCCTTTTTTCTGACCAACACTCAGCTGAAATGTCTCTTGGTTGTTAAAAATGTCCCTGGCTAATACCCATATGCACAGTACATGACAGTAAATTGCTTGTGTAACACTTGCTGCCATCCTCTGATTTCAGTAGCAGGGATGTGAAATGCCCCTAACAGTGTAAAAACAGATAGAGAAATTTGTTCTAAAAGTGCCATTTTGGTGCTGAAGATGCTTGTAGGGCAATGTTCAGAACCCCAGTCAAGCAGTCTGATGCTCTCCTGAACCCAAACTTCTCCCACTGCCATGTAAACATCTAGCTGCTGCAAACAGAGGCAACTCGGCTCACAGCTTTTTCATGTGAGATCCTTACACCTCATTCAATTATTTTGCTTGTCTGAAATGCTGATAATGGGTGTTTGGGTTTTCTGTTTGGGGATTTTTTCCTCCTTTTTTTTTTTAAACCAGCACCACTTGAAGGTCAGCTGCCAAATGGACTGAACAATCAGTGCAGGAAAATTGAAAATCATAACATCTTGTGTGTAGGCTGTGAATAATGGGCAACACACTTTTGATCATTAAAATAGAAAATGATCTGTTTTCCACTGTTTTTAGCCCATTAAGAAGGCAGGGATAAGAGCACATTGCTGATGATTTGCACCACTCTCCTGGCAGTACAAGCCTTGGCTGCAGAGCAGGGGCTGGCAGTGGGATGGATCCCACCCTGGTGAGGGCTTGGCTGGAGGAGGCAGCTGTGGTTTGCCATGACCTTCAACTGCTCTCCAAAAACCACAGGCACCCCAAAGCAGGGACGTTTTGTCCATTTTCTGCTGGGGGCTGGACCAATATTCATGGTCCATGGGCATGCTTAATTTTGGGAATGGAAGCAAGCCCACCCCTGAGTGCTGTGCAGACCAAGGAATGTCCTCAGATACATTTTGCTTTCTTACAGACACAGAAAATGTAAGCCTTGCACACCCTGGTGCAGGCAGAAACCAAGGCATTTTCCCAAAAGACGCAGGTGCATTGAGCATTGGAAAAGAATGATAATTTTGTGACACATGCCTGAGCTTTGGGGTCCAATTGTATATTTTAGCACCTTACTTTCTGTTCAGAACACCACTTACTTTTGTTGATTCACTGTACTGGTGAGACAATTTTTCTTATTTTACTGATAAAGATCTCCTAGCAAATATAGCCAGACTTGGTAATTAATCTTGTAATATTTATATATGCTGTCATCATATGGAAAATCTAAACAAATCTCTCTATCCATTTTATGAGAAGGATCACAGCAGGATCAGTGCTTTGCCAGTGCAGAGACACTGAAAAGAGCAAACTGGAGTGTGCCAAACACTCCAGTTTCAGGAACAAACAAGGGTTCCAAGGTGGCCAGAACCAGGAGCAGCCTAGCACAGGCTACAGCACTTTGCTGTGCTTCTCAGGAGAGGCTCAATGCTAAGTCCATTATAATTTTTACTTTTTTAGTTGTGGCAAACATCTCCTGAGGCTCAGCAAAGGGAACTGCCTGGATCCACCCAGCCAAGCCGCTTTAACCACCTCAAGTGCCAACTCCCAGCCACCAAACCACCCTCCAAAATAACATTGTTGGGTGTCACGAGCCCATCCATCACCCTTGACCCTGTAGCTATGTGGCCTGTTTGATAAAGGTGGTGAGCAGCCAGTTGAGCCCTGTGATTTATGTTTCTTTGCTTGAACTGGAACCACATTAACATGCCCTTGGTTTACAATGGCCAAACAGGTACAAATATTCAGATTTTGAAGGCTTATACATGGAATTCTGTTTGCAGCAATCAGATAGGCTTGGTTTCAATCCCTCTAAAAGCTCTATTCGTAGGAGTAAATGTACAGCATAGGGCATTTTCTAAATGGGCTTTCATACTTCTGACTTTAAGAATTTGAAACAAATTAGACAGAATAGGCAAATGAAATAGGCAAGTATTGTTACACACAACTGAATTAGAATCCTTCACAGAATTCATGTCAAGTAATTCTGTTGGTAGAAAAAATATTTGGTTTGCTAATTCCAGCCACGATACAATTTACAATCAGATTCTAGATTTTACAAAACAATTTAAAAAAGAAAAACGTTCAGAAAAGTGATTAATTTTGATGTGTCTGGGAATATTTGCTGGTGTTCATATTTCAGTTATTTGCAATCAATGCAAAAAGGAAAGCCATACCAACTAGAAAACAGCACTGAACTGATCGTTCCTTTTAGAATTCAATGCAGAAATGAGCAAATACCAAAACCAGGGGAATTAGCTCCAGATGTAAAATTTTGAGGTTTGTAGAAGGAGACAGCAATGCCAGGTCAGCTAAAGATATCTACCAAGCTGTGCCCTTTCAAAAATAAACAAAATAAACAAGAATGCTTTTCAACAGGTTATCTCAAAACTCAAGTAATTTAAATTGGCTGCAAATTTGGAATGAATATTTTTGCTGAGAGTATCCAACAAAGTAGTATTCTAGTGAGCTAAAAATGGGTTGTATCTGTAGAATTATAGTAATTTTATTTTTGTAAATAAACAATGTTTACACACACACAAAAAAACCCCACAAACAATCCCCAAACCATATTTTAGACATTGTGCTTTCAGATACTGAGGTTTTACAATAAAACTGGAACTGAATTCTTGCACTGCCTGTGCAGCCCATGGATGATACTATGAGCAAAAAAATCTCCTGGACATAATTTTACTTGCCTGGAAATTATACCCATTGAGAAAACCTGGCATTTGATTTGCACATTGTCAGAAATAGTAGTAATTTTTCCATGTTGTTTATGTATGTTATTATAAAAGCATTAATCTTGTATTGACTCACTGGCTTTAAAAAGTACTCTTACAGTCTGCAAAGTACAAAAGGAATATGGAGACTTCTATATGTTCCTTAGGTTTGAAAAGCATCACCTGCAGAAGGTCTGATCCTGACAACACTTGGGATGTTGATGATAGGATGTTGGGATGCTACACACTTTCAAACCCAGCTACATCCTCACATCAAGTCTGGGCTTGGGAGCAGGCTGAGACACACCTGGGTGTGACATGGCCCTGGGACTAGGAGGACTTGGAGGCATGGCAATCTGCACCTCTGATACACCCAAAATATTGATCAGCAGTGTAAGGGACCAGCATGGCTGCTTTCCCAGTAAAAACTGCCAACTGACCTCCCAAAATCAGCGCTGAATGAAGATGGTGACTGCATGCAGTCCCTTTCCCCACAGGAAAAGGTATTTTGTGAGAAATACCTCACATTTTTTGTCAGAAATATCTCTCTCCACGTTCCAGACGAGGTAGCTGAGCCCATGATGCCACAGAAGCTCCTTGGGGGGTGACAGTGTCACAGCGTTGTGTGACGAGGAATAAACACACGAGCTAATGCAAAGCAAGTCTTTGGTTTTCTGCTGGATTTGCTGGAGAACACTTCTAAACTTCCCCCTTTCCCCACACTTTTCACTCCTCAATAACAGCACACTTGCTGTTGTTTTCCCCTCATGCTAAATTGCCAGACTTTTTTGGGTAATCTACAATAACCTGTATCTGTATTTACTCCTTTTTTTTTGCCCAGGGAAGGAGGAAACACAATGCATGTGAAGGCTGCTCATCTGCAGCCCCACTTCAAAGCTAAACTACACCACTCTAGATCCTTAGAGTTGGAAGTTAGGATTTGATCTTAGACCCCTTTTTGCCTATGCAAAATGTAGGGCAATTGCATTTTCGAGGGTTTAAAGAGATAATTTAATTAAAGGGTGGATGTTACCCATTTAGCAAACAAGGAGAGAAAGAAAAAGTGTACGTATATTTATTGGTAGCTGCATTCAGACTATGGCCATGTAAATTAAAGTAGTTTCTTTACTTCAGTGCCATTACTACACAACACATTTAAAATTCAAAATGAACCCTTTACTGTGTATGTGCTAACATACATAGCCTCTGTGTCAAAACTCAGTGGAACTCTCCATACTTTCCTTTATTTTCCACAATGTAGTGCTTCTCTTTTTCTAGCATTCATGAAAGCATAATTTGAGCTCAAATATGGACATATTCACAAAAAAAAAAATTGAAAATTGCATACTGGTTGTACAATATGCAATGCACCCTTCATTAGTTATTTTGTGTGAGTCAAGTAGTAAATGTTCCTAATTGTATTTATTATGTAACACAGCATTTATTGTATTATTTAAATGTAACACTGCAGACGTGTGTTGGTTTGCAAAGGCACATTAGTAATCCAATTAGAGCAGCAGCCATACCCACAGATTTGCTAGGCTAGCAATCAGCAAAGTATGATTTTCTTGATATTAGCTCTGAACATTCACTGCGATGATTTGCCACTGAATATTTTTCAAGTTAAAGGCTAGAAAAATACTAAAATGGTTACATTGCTACAGCTAATTTCCATAGAGTCATAAATTCATGCCACACAGGCAATCAGGTTTATACTGAGCCCACTGTGCCTGGCTATATGACCTCCCCTTCTGCTGAAGTCTTTCAGCAGCAAGGTATGACTGAAATATGGGTAAATGGTCACAATATTATCAAATTTTCACCCACAGAAAGCTGGGGAGGAGAAAAGACTGAGGGCCAGCACTGAAGCTGTGCTGGGACAGCAGCACTTCACCAACAGGGGCATTTCTGGGTAACCTGAGCAGGGCACAGGGCACTCCCAGAGAGCTCTAGAGGTATTACTGTCTTCCACCAGTAATTCTGGTTACAATCAGAGCTGGTAACTGCCTAAAGAACCTTTGTATGCATTGCTGTGCAATGCTGCTTCTGCAGGGGGGCTCAGGTCTGTGCTGCCTGTAGGCTCAGCGGGCAGCTGGGATGTCTTGGTCTGTGTCAGTGAAGAGTTACTACTGCTGTTCTACAGGGTGGTGCAGAGGGGGTTGTACCAGGGAAGGTAAACTTTTAAAATCTAAGTCAACTGTAATCTTTCAAGGCTACCTATAATTAAATTTGAAAAAAAAAAATCACCACATTTCAAGAACATAATACAGCTCCCAAGTTACCTGAAAAGAAAGTGCAATCTAGTGCAGTGTGCTTTCAGTTTCCCACTCTGTTCCTCCCATTTCCTTCTGATTTCTTGTGCTTCAGTCTGTGTCCAGGTATTGCTGGTATCTGCTTTGTCTGTGAAAATGAAATACCAGGAGGAATTGTACTTGGTGCAACTGGTGCACGTTTGGGGGTTAATTCACCAATGGAGCAGGCTGCCCTGGGGAATCCTGGCTGGACCACACAGCATGAAAGAGGAGTTAGGTGCCCGAGCCTGGCAAGTTCAAAGAGGAGCTGTCACTAAAAAAAAAGCTAAAGAAAGAGCACAAGGGACTAGGAAAGACTGATCTCAAACCTCCTATGTCCTCTTGGTCCATGTTCTCATGCACAGGGGTGATGGATGCCCAGGTAGGGATGGCAGGCTGAAGAGCAGAGATCCAGAGCTTGGTTTCCATGCATCCTTGAAAAATGTGTCTGCTACTGAATATGAGGGAACTGCAAGGCCACCTTTCAGCAGATGCTTCCCAGTGAAACCTAGGTCAGTAACTGTGCTCTGACCCCCATAAACTGAGCTTTGCTGAGCCAGATGGGTTTGGGGATTTTTACAGGACCTAGATACGACCTGGCAGTCCCTGTGGTTGACTTATGTCAGCATCTGGGGATATGAGACCTGCAGGCAACAGGGCCACTGGGAAATAACTGGGCATGCACTTCCTCTGAGGCTAGAGACAAGCAGAATGGAGATTATCAAGGACCTTGGGTGTAAGTAAACATCAGATCTAAGTGAACAGAGCAGCAATCTGATGCCCAAATTCCTTGAGATGCCCAGCTGTAGGAGCTGGTCCAGCTTCCTCTGGAGTTAATAGGAACTGCAAAGGGTCCTGCAAAGGCACCCTTGTGACTGATGCTACCAGAAACACTTGGAAACATTTCAATCATGTTACAGCAGACTGTGTCTGCCTTTGCCTGGACTCAGAAAAAGTACAGAGTAGGTATGTACAATTTCCTATTACTTCACTGTATTTGCCAGGCTGGAATAAGTAGTTTGAAAACAATTCACAAATTTACAGTTTTAAAAGGATTCTAATCATGGTTATAATATTTATCCTTTAAAACAACTCACTGAAAAAATAAAACAAACCTTAATTTGCAAAATTGTTACCATAAAAATAAAGAGTTCTTGAGCTCACAAAATGTTGATACAGTTGAGCATGTTTTTATGAACAAAATAATATACAGGCAATTCTGCTGTGGCTTGGGGCCCTATCAGTTCAAATTCCTAAATCCTTTGGGACAGAGCCTGTCTGCCCTGATTTATGTAATAGTTCTAATGAGTAACAATCCCCATGATGACAAATGCACCAAGATAAAACCCTAAGAGAGGCTGTGCTGCAAAAAAAGAGCAGGGCACCATTCACACTTTTACTAACCAAACACATAAATCATCCTAGTAAGATATTTACCTGCGGGAGTAATCCCTAAGGGAAATAATAAACTTTCATCCTTTTGGTTCCCTGCCTGTGCTGTTTCCCTTGAATCTCTGGAAGGCATCTGCCTGAACTGGGTCTTCCAGCAGTCAGAGCTTTTTCCAGACTGTGAGCTGTCCCTGATCCTGCCTAAATGTATCCTTCAGTGGCCTTCAAAAGGAGCAGCAAACACCTCCTCCTGCCTCCTCAAAGAGGAGGAGTGCACAGACAGGAAGGCACTTGTTGAGATGGACCTTGAGGAGTCTCTCTACCACCAAGAAAGCTCCTGCCTCTTGAATGCAGCCCTACCATACCACAGAATCTGAAGTGTGTCTGTGCCAGCAGGAAACACATTACAATCATCACTGCTTGTTTCTGGCCAAACACATCTTGATAAAAGCTGTGACATTTACAGTGTGATACAGACCCATGTGTGATGGTTTATCTGCAGCTCTGATTCCTTTTTGTTAAGAAAAAAGATACAATCACTGCATTAATTCAGCTGGCAGGCTCAGGTGTGCAAAACCTCAGATTTAAAGTTGGTTTTCCAAGGGTAAATTCCAAAACACTTTGCACTGCTACAAATTTAAAATAAAGCAAAAATGATGGCTACTCCAAACCCATGCAAAGCAAAGTAAATAGAGCAAAATACCTATATAAAACTTCATGGAAACATTTTCAAACATTTCTAATATTCCTAGTTTTTGTTCATCAGCTTGTTCAATTTATTCAGTGACCAACCTACTACTCATGGTCTCACCTACAATTTTCCAGTAATTTTCCAAGAGAAAGCTTCTCAGAACACAAGCTTAAGTTTTGTTTCTTGCTTGGAATCAGCAGAAGCCTTTTTATTATCTTCACAGTATAGTAGAGAAAATTTAGAGAACAGATCCAGAGCTGTGCGTGTATTTTTGAAAGAGGTTTGCAGCAAATCCTCTGCATCCACTTATCATGCTAAACTACACAGTCCTGACCAGGTTTGCTTTTGGCTCTTCAGTGGTTTGGGCTAGCACAGGTTAAATATGGCTTAAGATGGTAGCAGCAACAGCCAAAGGCCAATTTATGACTTGGTATCAACATTTTGGTGGAAGCCAGCTTCTGGGGGAACTCCAAAGCAATGCTCTTCTGTACTCTTCTGTACAACCTGCACAATCAGATTTGTGGGAAACAAGTACAGGGTTGGGGCCCTCAAAGAATTGCAAGGAAATGATTTGCATGAATCTCTGCAACAATACTGCAGAAGTAAAAGATGCAAATTTAAGACAACAGAGAGCCTACATTCATTTTAGTGACTTATTTCAATGAGAAAGTAAGGAAGTAAGCAGTTTTCTGGTGATGCAAACATTTGACACCAGAGGTGCATACTGGCTTCTCTTGCATTAAATGTAGTCAGTTCTGAAGATGACAATTGCCTGTTTTCTGTTACTCAGTAGGTCGGAACAGTTCTGCACACTTTATCATGGTCCTTGATAATCCCCTGACTTTTAAGAGTTACGTGGCAGGTGGTCTTTCAGACAAGCCTGGCTAAACCCTATCGTTTGTAGGAGGGGAGTTCGGCCCATTCCATCCTCTGCCACTGAAGTCAGTGGGATTAGTGAAGTGAAGCACAGTCACCCTAAAGCTGGTGTGACAACAGTCACCTACGTGTATGTCATACAGAGGCCTGCTACGAGGAGTTGCTGAAGAGCATTGAGTACAAGGCTCAGGACCAGATCCAGACTTCAGCAAACTGGGAGATACTGGTTAGCCAAAACTTACCAACCCCATGTGTGAATCTGGAGCGCAACTCGCGTTATGCCTTTAACATAAGAGTTTGGGTTCAGGTGCTGTTCTGAAGAAGAACATGTTGGTTTTGACACCATCCAAGCCATGCACACCATCCCTCCGTAACTGCACCAGATTCTACATCAAAGACATCCAAGTCTCATTTAAAACCCTCTTAGAGAAAACTTATAAAACCCCCAGAAAGTAAAATGCTGAACACCCAATGAATACCAAGGCTGTCTCTGAAATGTAAAACTTCCCAGTAGCTTACAGTGGTAATTCCACCCTAACCACCATTCTATTTTTATTTAAGAAACAAATGGAATTCCAAAAACTCTACCTAGAATCACTTGTTTCTGCCAAGCGGTTGTTCATGATGGCCAGAGACCCCACCCCCGCAGAGAAACCGTTCTGTCTCGTATTGATACAGACATTCCTCGGGTAGCCATTCGCTGTCTCGGACAACTGCTTCTGCAAAATGGCCAGCGAGACTTTACTGGATGCTGTGAGCTCCCTCATGGAGATCATCTCTCCAGAGAGCCTCCTGCCCTCGGTGTCGCTGTCGTACTGTCCGTCAGCGTCCATGGCGACGTTGTGGCGGCGCAGGCGGGCTCCTGGGGTGATGGCGTTGCGACGGCTGAGGCGGGTACTGGATTTACGGCACTTTGGGCAACATCTGCATTCGAATTTTTTCAACACCCAGTTCAAAATCTGTTTGATTACGATTGAGATGACATTAAAAAGGGAGTATATGCAACATACTCCCATTAATATAAACATGAAGTTCCCGAATCTGTATAATCCCTGATGTTGGTACACAGCGTTTTGGTTGCTTACCAAATCTCCAAAGCCGATGGTGCTGAAGGTGACAAAGCAGTAATACAAGGAGTCAACGTAGTTCCATCCTTCCACTGCCGTGTACATGGCGGAGGCGCAGCAGGAAAGGGCAATAGCAAAAATTCCCAGGATCAGCATGACGTGGTAAACGGACGGCTTCCAGCCCACGAGGCTGCCCACCCCGGACACAGCTGGCCCCCTTCGGAAGTTGGGAGGTAGGAGACCACTTCTTCTCAGCTGTCTCTCATAGCACGCCTTCATGATAAATGCCAGGAGGGAGATGATGCGCTCCAAGAAGAGGTTGAAGAAGAGGATAGTCCCGGCGCACCCGAAAAGGCCATAAACAATGAGGAACACTTTTCCAGCCACGGTTGCTGGTGTGGTCATTCCAAAACCTACGGTGTGGAGATAAATGGGCAACGTTACTAACACAGGTTTTCGTGAGTAAGCTCTATGTACCTTAACAAGGCTTCCATCTCACTGGACAAAAGGAGTGCTTTCTCTAAGTCAGCTTAGGCCAACACAAAACCGAGTTTGTAAAGAAGGAAGAAGGATCCAAAAGTTAAATGAGATGACTAAAACTCTAAAGTGAAAAAAAAAAAAAAATCCTTGCAAGATGAAAGGATTATTATCTGTATTTAGAGAGCAACACCACTCAAAATCCTGGTGGAAGACTCACTGAGCCCAAACCTTTCCAAGATGGGATGAGGTAAAGAGGCCATTTCCCTGCTCCCACATGTCCCAGCCATCACGACCTGATGGAAAGTTTAAGTTCTCTGTTCACAAGCTGTATCCCAGTGTAACATTTTTTCTTACAGGGGTCTGATTATAACATTCCCACTGAGAAGATGGAAGTTTTCAGGTTGTGTAACAGGAGAAAAAAACCAAACCACCTTCCAAATATTGAATATTGTTTTAAAAATAACAGCACTTTTAAGTCTCTTCCAAATCTCAGCTGTGACTAGCCCACCTGGGATCATCACAGAGGGAAGGAAAAGCCATCATGTCACAGAGCTGCCTGGCAGACTGGGGGCACTGGGAACTTGCAGATGGATAATTACAGCAAGGAAAAACACTGCTGCACAGTTGAGCAGAAACATCAGAGTATACAAATTCTGTGAAGATCCAGCAACAATATTAATTCAACTCTTCTTCATATGAATTACTTACTGTAATATTACTTATTATTATGACATTACTCACACACAAAGTTTTATACAGTAAACAGTAATGCCTTGTAGCTAACAGATGGTTAAATAACAGCAAAAGTGAACTTAAATTAGCATGCAAATAAATACAGTAATTTTACTCCATGTTATTTGCTGATACCAGTTATCTTATAAAAAATACTACATACATTTCACATCATATCTCAAGAAGATTCTTCTGAAACTCAGTTCTGCGGGTATTGGCTTTTTTTTCTGCTATTCTTCCCTGTAAAAACATTTGGTGGCTCAGGCAAAAAACATATTGACGGGATTGAGGCGATTGCTTATGTCCTATGAAGAAATAACCACATCCAGTCTAAATTAAAGTTTGTGAAAAATCTACATTCCAAAATTTCATTGCTGTATTGTTCCACCAAAATACTGAGCAAGTAATGTATTCAAGGAGGTAAATATCAACACCAGACTGTATAAACAGACGTTTGTGAAGGAAAAGCATAGAGCATAATGAAATCATTACAGAGCATAATGAAATAAATAAATTCAGTTTATTACCTTGACACACCTTTATAAACAGCAGCAGGATAATATTGCCTATATACAATGAGTTGAGATTGCTGCTTGAAATCCGTTGATCTACTTTTGCAATGGCTGAATTTTTCTGGCTAGTTTATCTGTGCTCCCTTCCTACTTTGTTGATAGAGAATTTCCCATTGGTTGACAGAAGAACGTAAATGCTCATGACAAGTAAACTCACATGTATCGTTTCAGTGACATAAAGCTGAACGAGGGAAGAGGTGGATCTACTTTCACAACAGATTTGGCAGGCTCAGAAACCGCTGTGTGCCAGCGAGTCAGCCTACACCTCATAATCTGAGTAATCTGGTCTAGTGAAAGGTGTCCCTGCCCATGTGAATAGATGACATTTCAGGTCCCTTCTAACCCAAACCATTCTCTGATTTTAGGATCAAAAGCATCATTGTAAAAAGAGTATTTTGTGTAAAAGTCAGTGAAAAACTTGCACAGTATTGCCAGAAAATATTACCACAGAGGTCATTACATTTTGCTTTCTGGACCCACTGTCTTCTCTCCATTTTGCAGTGTTAACAAGACCATCTTTGAGCAGACCTCACAAAGCCTACCATGGGCTCTGGGAAGTTCTCAGTTCCTTCTTCTCTGTGGGGTGGACCTGTTCTCTGGATTGGGCTGGCTGGTAGCAGGAGTCCTCTCATTTAATGATGCATATCCAAAAGTGCCTGGTCCTCAGAAGGAGCTGGGGAGCCTGTTGTGGTTGCCAGCTAGGGATACACAGCCAACTTGTTATGGAGAAGGCATCTGTTTGCCTGTGCCTTGTCAGCAAAGCACTTAAACATGTGCTTCACAGCAAGCATGTGAACATCACCATCAAAATAAATGGGTTTATTGTCACACATATGGCTAGACACATTTATTAATTAGGGGAAAAAAAAGGGATAGCAACAGTTTGGATCAAGCTGTAAATGCGCTGAAGCCTTTTACTATTTTCTGGTGATCATTCAAGAGAGGTGATGAAGTTTTGCATTTTTGATACTGTTTGTTTCATCAAGATTTTCTGAAGCAAAATGCTTCCAAAATTCAGTATGTAGCTAGGCAAGCTGAAAGGGCCCATAACAGCAATGAGAATGCTAAGGAATACATAAAAAAGGCTAAAAATGAGGCTAGGCAAACACTGAATCATTTAGGTTGGAAAAGACCTTTAAGACCATTAAGTCCAACTGCTAGCCCAGCACTGCCAAGCCACCACTAAAACACATCCCTTAGGTCACCAGCTGGCTGAGGGAAGCAGTCACAGACTCTCTGTGCAGGGTCTTTCTCTGCCAGCTGTGTTTGTCCCTTGGTGTCACCCCAAGCACGAGGAGTTGCTCCTGGTATGTTCTGTACCTCATCTCTGAGCTCAGCCCCCGCCCAAGGGTAAGAACACCATGATGTCTGGGTGAAGCAAACTCATCCAGAACTGCCTGTGCTTCCAACACAGTACAGGAGAAAACCACAACAGGGCTTTGTGCTTTTCATGGCCCCGAGACATATTTTACAGGTGCCTTGGGGTTGACTTCGTGTAGCTCAGATACAATATCTGAACCTCCCTCATGCCAATTCTGCCCCACCACCTCAGATACAAGCTCTAGGGCAGCATTAATTTCAGCTGGTTGATACTTCTCCTCCCCAAAGAGAATTAGCAGAGATGAACTGATAAAAACTCTCTTCAGCAGCCTCTCACGGTTAAGTGCTGGCATTTAATGAGACCCTCATCCTGACTTGCATAACAGGTTTGTGGTTACAATTCTGCTCATCTGGAACTTTAAATTACTTAAGCTAGGGATGGATTCAAGAGGTAGAACAGATGGACAAACTTGTGACATATGCTTCCTGTTGCTCTTGCTTTCTTTTCTTTTACCCACTTTCTTATGAGTAAGAGATGGTTGATGCCAGAAGACAGAAAGGAATAGCAGCTTTAGTACTTGTGAGCTCTTCTCTCAGTCGAATTACTTTGGCAGTTACCTTGTCTTGCTACATTTTGAGATTAACAGGGGTGACAGTTTTGCTGTAAAAGAAGTATTTACTCAGAGATGCAATGAATTTTTGGTCACTTTAAAAACTGAACACAAGGAAGTCACAGAAAACAACAGAAGAAAGGGCATAATGTGTCCCCGCCTCTTTTAGCCACACCAATTCTTCTTGTAAGCCATAGGACTTCACTCACACAGCAGGTCAGCACACTGGAGCATCATTTGAAATCCCAGAGTGAAAAACCTACTTAGATCATCAGAGTAGCATCACCTCTATACCACTATATAACCATCATGTAGTTATATTTAAGGAAATCAAAATAAACTAAAATGGTTGAAAGTAACTTTTTAAACAAATGGTTCCTTAGAGATAAACAACATCAGAGACAACTCTAACCAGAATGCTTCTTCCAGAGGGAAAATGTTCTTGCAACATAAAGGCTAAGAGATGGGGGTTACATCACACAGAGAAAAAAAGAGCTACCAATTTCCATGGTTTCCTGCTTCCTGTCTTTTTTGCATTTGCTTTACTTCATAGCTCTCCAACAGTCCTGGCTGGTATTGACTGACGCGTAAACCGTACTATACACATATATAGGAACCAAACATCCTAGTCTGAATCCCATGTTTGTGTTCTGGTGCTTCCTTCCACCCTCTCCCACCTGTTAGCATTTCATCATTATTTCCTGTGAGAATCATACCTGTATATTTTACAACTGCCTCTCATTTATTCTCTAGCTCCTCATCACCTAACATCCAGGAACAGTTGCCTTGGATACAGGGTCACAGCTTGGAGCTGACAAAACTGCTGCACCCAGAGCTTTTACCCAAGGAGTGGGGAATATGACAAGTGAGTTCTTCCAACTGGCTCTGCTTTTCCAGACTACAAATGATAGACTTACTTTCCCTTTAACATCTTTCTCAACCTGCTTCACTAAAATACCCCACTCTGGGCTCAAACAGTAAATTATTTTAGAGCTTTTCTACTGCAAAGCCTTTAATTTAAAAGTTGCTGTAAAATCCCATTTGATCTTATTTAGATTACTATCTGCAAACACCTCCTGAACAGCAGCGGTCTGTCCAGCACTATGTGAATTAAGAGCCCTTAAGCTGGACCTGTGCTATTTCTGAATAAATGAGATACAACGGCAGTTTTTTAGGGCTGGACTAACCTGTATCATACGCAAGCTAGAAGCCCTTGGTGACTCATGTACTGGGGCAGATATTCCACAGAGAAAACCCTGAGTGACCCTGCAAATAAGGACTGACTTCCATAATCATTCTCTCTATCCATTCATCCAGGAACGAGCACCATGATAAGCCTAATGAATGTAGTTAAAAACCACCCATGCCTCTGCTAATGCTCCTTCTTTCATTTCCACCTGTGAAACATCAGTCAGGTGTTTGAGGCAACTGCTACTCAAAAAGAGCCACGCTGGCAGAACAGAGCCAGATGATTCATTGGACTTCAAGGACTTTCAGAGAGCTGCAGGTGACTATTACAAGCTTTCTACAGTACCAGTTTTATTCTCTTTTTATGCAATGGTGATCAGGTTATTGGTTATCCAAAGTGCTGTGATGCCTTAGTGATCAGTGAACACCAGAATCAATCACCCGTGGCATTTCTCTCCTGGCCATGCTTTAAACCACAGACTAAAATGTCATGGCTACATATTCATTCCT